TCTTCCTACTGTTCTCCTCATTTGCAATCGAGCGCGAACAACTTGAAATCGTCGCCTGCGTGGTCTCTGAACTTTTCGAACTTGTGTAAGCTCGGCCCACTTCTTCTGACGACGCACATTCCAGACCTCCCCCTCCAGGGTCCAAAGTCGCTTTGGTTTCCGAGGTCTTCTTTTGCCTCTCCCCGAAACATGTGGTGTAGATTGAGCAGCTCGGTGGATGCAGAAGTTGATAGCACTCCCTGGGTTCATGATCTCCTCCTTTTCTCTTCGAATTCCTCTGCCCCCTCCTCGCTCCCCTCAGAGCCTATCGTGTCCGACGCACCTGCGCGGCCCAGAACTTTGGGTGGGCCGCGCCCCTTCCACGTATTCCGATTCTCGCCAAAAGTATTCTTGAGCTGAATTTGGCACTCAAGACAGAAATCACCTCAGGTGCAACCTCGATGTTGGCGTCCGCGAGCAGAATGACCCGACGAGGCGGAGCCGGGTTCGAGGTGCAATTTCTGGACAACGATGCGACATATTTGCAAGCGTCTGCTGAAACTACAATGGATTGATCCGTGCTTCCGGTGCGGGTGCCCACGCGTGGCAAGGACGCGGACGCAACGCACAAGCCCGCGCTATAACTTCCACCCCAACTCTGAGTGTACCAGCTGGCCAGTTCACGTGAGATGAGTCCGCCTTCGACATCTGCGCAACCATCGCATTTCGGAGATCCCGCAATAGCGTGCCATATGTACCAACTTTCACGTGAAGCTTGAGCCTGCCATATCCAACGTCAACTCTGCCAGACTTGGACCACTTCGTCTCATCCTCATTTCATTTCCGTCTAGTGCTGAGCCTCTGGTGCACCTAGTAATCACATTGTTACATAATGCCTGAATTGTCACCTCGCTCAACATCTGATCCGACCGAAGACTGTGCTTCCTCCAATCTGTGACCCACCCTTTGACTTCCACCCAAGTTGTTTCCCATTGTGTTTGTCGCTGAGCTGTAGGTTTGAGTCGGTGGTCCCACGGAGGAACCTTAGGCCGTGCTCGCATTCTACACAGCATATGGCCCTCGCTCCAGGTTCTCCAGTCGCCGTCTCTGTTCTGCTGCCTGCTGCTGCAAACTATTGACGGCTGTTGTTGTCGTTTCGGCTTTCGTCTCTACAGTTTGCGTGCCTGTTTCGGTATGATCTTTGAAATTGCAATCCCAACGTTTTTGTTGAGAAGGTCCACTGCATGAACAAGCTTCAAGCCGTCATGGGCCTCTGCTAGGATCTTCTCACGTTGCTACTGCTCTCTGACCTCCTGGTGCTCCCGAACGCGTTTCGGCTTCTGCTCTTCCTATGTACTAGAAGCCAGCGCCATGTTTGCCTCTAAGATGCGATCGTGAAGTCCGTATCCACTGTGCGTTCTCAACTCCCACCCTCTTTCGCGATGCAATATCGATTTTTGTTGGACCAAACTCACGCTGATCCCTCTGCCTATGTACCCCAGCTCGAAAGTTCGAATGCAGCGTGCAACGATCTCCTTTCCTCTGTCTCTTCCCAAGACGTCTTGGCAACACAGTGTTTATATACATGATGTAGACTGTATCCGTCCTCAGCGTTGCCCCTTGTCAGAGCGATGATTAATGAAACCCCGGTAGTCGTATCGAGCGCCCTCGCGCGATGAGACAGCCTCACTCGGCTGGGCAAACTATGCCAAGAAAGAGACACACTGCAGTGCAAAGGTATGCGTGCAAAAGGAGGAGATGGCAGGCCAGCGCAGTCCTTCCTGGAGGTTTCCCAGGCAGAGGAGGGGCCGCACCTGCGTCGACCCGAGTCAACGCGGCCTTGAGCCAACGCGGCCTTGAGCCAACCTGGCTACCGCCGGGGACCTCGTAGAGCTCCGCAGCCGCAGCCGCGGCCGCAACGAAGCCGCGGCCACATGCCGCCCTCTGGGCCGCCCCGGTCGTCGCGACGGGCGCGGGCGGCCTGGCCCCGAGAGCCGCGAGCGCCGTCCGCGTCCATGGTGCTCGCGGCCGCGATGATGGCAACTTTCCCGATCCAGGTTGTCTGGGCAGTGGCGCATCGCCCCGTGGCCGTCCCTGCCCGAGGCGCGTCTGCCTAGAATGGTCGTGGCCCTCCCTGCGATTAGCATTGCAGGGCCTGGGGCCGGGAGTTCTGCGGGCGCCCACCGCGGACTGGCGCGCGATCTCCTCCAGCGCGCGTGCAGGCCTGCGAGTGCCAGTTGGCAGTTTAGCGCGGAGCGTCGGCAATGCCGGGGCTTCCAGCCCTGGGAGAACCCCCCCCGCGCGGCGCCGGCGCCGGGGCGGCCGCTGGGCAGCCGGGCGGGGCAACCGCGGGCCAGCCGCGGGAGCCTGCGCAGTAAGCGTTGGACATCCTGGCGGGGCAGTCGCTGGGGGGGCCCGGCAGGGGAGTCGCGCGGCATGGTCGGCCAGCTAGCTGTTTTTAGGAAGTCTATTTTTCCTCCCCCTCGCGTGTAGCTGTTGCACATCTTGCGACTCCTGTGGCTCTCTCCGTGAAGTGTCGAAGCCCTCGGGCTCGACTCTTCCATCTCCTCGGTTCCTTGCGCTTCGTTCCCTCTACCGCGCACGATGGGCCGACGCGCGCAACGATGCGTCTAACTGACGGGGCGGCACATTCAACTGCGCGTCGAACAAATTGTTTGCCGCGGGTTGTGCGCAGGGCACATGTTGGGCAGGGGCGGAGCAACGGCCGGACAGTAGAGGGGCAGCATCAGGGAAGCCCGCGGCGTGCGTACGGAAATAATTCAGCATTTTTTTTTCGCGCGCATCGGAGGAGGTCGCGTTGGCATGCGCCGCCAGCACCCGCGACGCGAGCCGAAACGAAAGTTCATGATCCCAATGGCGCGCTACTGGCCATTTAGAACTTACGTGGTACATCTCATGGAACTTCCGTTCAGCTGGCGCCGAAATTTGAACGTCGTAATTGCGTCTCGCACCGCATATCCCATCGGTGCAGGTGCGTATCAGTGATCCATATTGACATCCCCTGGTTTCGACGTACATTTTCTGCCCTGTTGTTCCAACGTGGAGTTCTGCTCATCTGCTGCAGCGCTGGGATTGGCGCGCGCGGGAAGATCGAGCGGGGGGATCATGCCTTGTGGCTGCTCAGTGGGATGCCAGAGATGGGCTTGGGACCACATGGGCCGAACAGTTTCTGGGCGGCGACATGCCGGGAATATGCGCCAAATCGTTGCTCCAACATCTGGGCAGAGCGCGTGTGATTCCCCGAGCTCGTGCCTCGATGCGGCCTGCGCCCCGCTCTGTGGTTTCCCTTCCGCGCGGACCTGCTTCGGGAAACTTCTCGTGCTCGTGCTCGGGACGCTGGGGCCCGACGCCGGTGCCGAGCCCCTCTGGAACAGAAGCGTTGGGAGCCTGTGCCGAATGCCGTCGCCCGTGTCTTCGGGCTCACGCGTCCCGCGTCGAGGAATGCCGGCCGTGCGCGCGTGGGGGGGCGAGCTTGGGCAGCCCGAGGAACATTCTCGGAGTTCCATGGGCCGCGCGCGGCTCGTGGGCCGCGCGAACCTCGCCAGCCCCATGCGTCCCACGAGTCTCAGGAAGGTTTCCTTGGCCACCTGGGCACCGCAGCGACCGTGGCGGCGCGGGCGCCGAGGCCCCCGCTGGAGAGGCGGGTGGAGCGGATCCCCTCGACGACTTGTGTCCGAGGCCCGAAAACCATCACTTCACTAATTTTGGGCCCCAGGGCCCACTGAGGCCAGGGGCCCCAGATTAGTGAAGTGATGTTTTTTCCCACGTAAGGACCCCGAAGTTCATCACTTCACTAAACCGAGCCCAGGACGAAAGTCAGGGGCCAAATTGCTGCTGTGATGCAACATCGGTCTCGTACTGTGGGCTGGGGTTGGGAGGGCGCCGCGCTCTTGGGCCCTGGCCGCGCAGGGCAGCCAGGGCTCTCCCCCCCCTGGCGCGGGGGCTAGGCAGCGGAGTCGGGACCGTCGGGTGCCCGCCTCGGGCCTGCGGAGCTGTCGGGGATGCAGCCAGGGGTTCGGGCAGGCGTCGGGCGAGAGGAGGGGGGGAAGAGGCAGGGAGCGGGGCCAAGCGGAGGGGGGAGGCGCGGAGGACGGCGGCGATGGAGTGGGAGGCTCGGGTCGTGGAGGAAGCCGCATCCTTCCCGCTGGTCCCCCCTCTCCCGAGAACGCCCGCCGACTTCGCTTCTCGTCTGCACTTTTTGTTTCCTGCCCTCCCTCCTGCGCGCTGCGCGATGTTTCCCTTTGCCCCCTTCCCCACCCTCCTCCCGATTCCGAAGGCCAGGACGGGCTCGCGCTGGCCCAATTCGCAAGTCCAGTTGTTATGATACAGTATCTTTCTTGGTGCGGGTGTCGGCTCTCTGTCTTCCCGTGTGACGCAAGGAAAACGGCGGCGCGAAAAATGGACAGGGAGTGAAGGAAGGAAATGGGGGTCGAACAGGTGCCAACGAGGGCGGGGTGGATGTAGGAGGGCTTGGCGAGAGGGCGGGGTCCGAATGCCTCTGGGTGCTTCTGCAAGGGGCCCACAGCGTCCGACAACCTGGCTTGCCAATTTTGGAGCCTCGAGGACAGGTGGATGCTGGAAGGGACAGGGAAGAAGGAACGTTCAAACGAAGGAGGAGGAGGAGGAGGAAGAGGAGGAGGAGGAGGAGGAGGAGGAGGAGGAGGAGGAGGAGGAGGAGGAGGAGGAGGAGGAGGAGGAGGAGGAGGAGGAGGAGGAGGAGGAGGAGGAGGAGGAGGAGGAGGAGGAGGAGGAGGAGGAGGAGGAGGAGGAGGAGGAGGAGGAGGAGGAGGAGGAGGAGGTGAGGAGGAGGAGCAGCTGTTCGGGAAGGGGCGGGGCGGAGGGGCAGAGCAGGAGGGCGGGTGGCCTGCGGCCGCGGGGATGGGCGCAGTGTGCCGGCCCCGTGACGGCGGAGGCGTGGTCGTCGTCGTCGTTCGTCGCTGTCGTCGGCGCCGTCGACGCTGCTGCCGCCGCGGCCGCGGGTGGCTCAACAAACATGCCAGAGGACACCTGTGCTCCCCGTTCCCCGTCGGAGGCGCCGCGGAAGAGGAGGGAGAGTGGGGACGGAAGGAAGGAAGGCAGGGAAAGAGGGAGGGGGGGAGGGAAGGAGGAGGAGGAGGAAGAGGAGGAGAAGGAGTGTCAGATCTGGTCGGCCGACACTGTGTGTGTCTCAGACTTGGCGAAAGGAAAGAAAAAACAGGAAAAGGGGGAGGACGGGGGGGCAGGGGGGGGTGGTAGACGACACAGATGGATGATGACGAAACAGAGGAGGACCAGGAGGAAGGGGAGGAAAAGGAGGATGATGATGACAAGGAGGAGGAGAAGGAGCAGGACGAGGAGGGTGAAAAGGAGGAAGCTAATGATGATGCTGATCATGCTGATGAAGATGACGATGATGATGACAATGATGATGATGATGATGATGATGATGATGATGATGATGATGATGACGATGATGATGATGATGATGATGATGATGATGATGATGATGATGATGATGATGATGTCGATGATGTTGATGATGATGATGTTGACAACAACTGATGACGAGGAGACGGAGGAGTAGGAGCAGGATGAGGGGGATCATGACGACGATGGTGATCATGTTGATGATGAGTACTATGGTGATGATGACGATGACGATGCTGATGACGCGGCGATGATGAGGATGATGATGATGATGATGACGATGATGATGATGACAGTACTGTCAACGACGACAACGACAGATGACGACGACGACAACAACAGTAACGTTGCCGACAACGGCGACGATGATGATGATTTGGTGAGATGATGACGATGATGATGCTGCTGATGATGATGATGATGATGCTGTTGAAGATGATGATTATGACGATGATAATTGTGATTGTGATGATGATGATGCTGCTGATGATGATTCTTGTGATGGTGATGGTGGTGATGATGATGACTGAGGGGGAGGCGGATGATGATAATGACGATGCTGCTGATGATGCTGCTGATGTTGATGGTGGTGAGGATGGGGATGAAGATGAAGATGATTCTGATGATGATGATGGAGATGCTGATGATGATGATGCTGATGATGATGATGATGATGGTGATGATACTGCTGCTGCTGCTGATGATGACGATCACGAGGACGATCCCGATACTGATAATGATGCTGCTGCTGATGATGATGAGGATGATAATGATGAGGATGAGGATGAGGATGATGAGGTGGTGAGGATGAGGATGACGATGCAGATGATTATGATGATGATGCTGATGCTGATGCTGATGCTAATGCTGTTGATGATGCTGCTGATGCTGATGCTGATGCTGAGGATGATGATGATGATGATGATGATGATAATCATGCTGTTGATGATGATGATGATGACGACGATGGTCATGCTGATGGTGATGATGACGACGATGATGATGAGGATGATGATTCCAATGATGATGCTGATGATGATGATGATGATGCCGAAGAAGAATAATAAGACGATGGTGTGGAGAAAGGAAAGAGGAGTGGAGTAGGAGATGTGGACAACACATGATCGAACATACCCTGGCCTGGCCGAACATTATCAACACGACTACGTCCAATGTACGTGTGCGTGTGTGTGCGCGCGTGTGTGTGTGTGTGTGTGTGTGTGTGTGTGTTTGTGTGTGTGTGTGTGTATGTGTGTGTGTGTGTGTGCCGGTGTCGGCCGCCTCTGTCCTGGCCAGGGTTTTCACAATGATATTGCACGATTCGTGGACTACGTACTGGTTTTCTCAGTCAGGCTTGGCCTGAGGGTTCCCTACTGATGTGGGCACCGACACGCACACGCACACACACACACACCTGGCAACACTTGCTTTGGGACTGTTCCATGCTGGAAAGATCATGCTGACACAGCAGCACCTCCCAACGGTGTGCTGTGCAATGCCATGTCATGCCATGCGCTGACATGGCTCGCAGGGCAATGATGTGCAATGCTATGCTACGTCATGTTACGTGATGCTATGATCTGCAAAACTGTAAGATGCTACGATATACCATGCTGTGCTGCTACGGCTTGCAAGGCTATGCAAGGATGTGCTGTTCTACGGAACGCCCTCCCATGCATTGCATTTGTTTTACCCTTCGCGTATCCCCACCAGCCCATCCAACAATCATGCCCAGGCACGTTGCCTTGACCAGGGCAGTAGGGGAACAGGCAGCGGAACAGAGAGCTGGGGAAGCTGGTCAAATCGAAGTTTTGACTCAGCCTGAGCAGAGCCAGGAGGAAGGGCATATGACGAGGCGGGAGGAAGAAGTGGAGGAGGCAGAGGAGGAGGAGGATGAGGAGGAGGAATGATGAAGGAGAAGAAGGCGAGCACAACGACCATTTGTTTGACTCGGCACGTTCCTTGTCAACTTCTGGTGAACCCTAGGGGGAGGAGGAGTAAGCGATGAACATGATGATGAGGGGGTTGGGGCAAGAGAAAGATGAAGAGGGGTCGGCGCTTATCTTAGGGCGCTGTTGGTGGCTCTTCGGGCCGCCTTGGCGCAACTTTTGGAGTCCTTGGGGCTTTCACGGGGCCTTCCTGAGGCCCTCTCGGGAGCTTCAGCGGCCATCTTCGAGGACATCGGTCAACAACGGGGGGTCCCCAGTCATCAGTGCCCCTCGATATCAGCTCAAAACACCTCTTGGTGTCCTCTTGCGGCGCTCCTGGGCCGCTCGTGTGGACGTCTCGGAGCCCTCTTTCGCCCCTCGTGGGTCTGTCTTGGGTTCTCTTGGAGCCATTCTGAGGCCTCGGCAGGGCCATCGGAAACGGAAATGCTAGAAGGCACACCACATGGATTTTCCGGAGGTTTGGGACTGATTTAGGCCTCTTGGGTGCTTCTGGGGGTGATCCGAGGCCACTTGGATCCGTCTTGGGGCAGTCTTGGACCTCCTGGAGCATCTTGGAAGCCACCTTTGGCATCTTAAGGCATCTTGAGCCATCTTGGAGGTTATCTTTGGCTCTCCGAGGCCCTTGGAGCCATCTTGGGCTATCTTGAACGCTCTAATCGGTCGCGGGGCGCTTCGTCCAGACCCAGGGGGGGAGGGGTCAAGCTACCCCAAGCCACCCCCCCAACAAGCAGGCAACATCCGAGCCTGGGGCCCCGATCCCACTGAGTTCGGAAGTGCAGTGCCGAGCATTCATTGAGAACGGCGGGACCCGAAGCACTAGCATTAATTCACAAGGCGTTCTTCCTTGAAGTCGCTTGCCCTGACAGAATGCGGAGCCAGTTGCGCTGTCCTTTGCATTTTCGGGCCTACGTTTTACGCTGCTGGTTCTGGGCTCCGAGAATGGAGGCTTCAGTTGGTTTGGGGAACATGGTGGGCACCGCCGCCGTCCCTGCGAACCACCAACGCAGCGGGATCGCGGGGCGCCCGCGTGCGGATTCAGATTTTGCCGCAGAGTGTATTCTCCATTGCATTTTGACAGGGATTGTAGGCCTGCGCAGAGCGGAGAATACGAGGGCCCCCCCCCGCCTTCCTCGGGTGGGAGAGGGGGGTGTATATTCAGGAGGATAAGTGAAACCCCTTCCCGATGGGGGGAGAGGGGGTTGAAGGAGGAAACGCGCTAAACCACTACGCCCAGAGGGCTGGTGGGATCATATCCTATGTTGTTCTCTGATACGCCGAGCCATGTAGTACTAAACTATGCTTATATGCTATCAAATGCTATGCTCTGCAAGGCTATGATGTGATATATAATTCTTGGCTATGCTATGCTACCCTATGGTATTACCCTCTCTGCAACGCAAGGCTCTGATCAAGGATGCAACGCTAGACATTCATATCCTGGGCTAGGCTAAGCCATTGCTATGTCACGCAATGCAGGTCTTCATTCCGTTATGATATGCAATGGTACGGAGTGCTGCTGTGCGGTGGTATGCCGGGCGGTGCCGGACGATCCATGGCAATGCCATGGCATGTTATATTCTGCACTGCGTGTGTACGGCATCGGCAGTCATGATGTCCATAGGTGGGATCTTACCGGTTTCGTTGTTCAGAACCATGCCTTGGCCGCCGTGTTAATTAGAAGAGGTGATCCGATCTCGAATCGTGAATGCCACGGCCCATGCGACCGATCGTGCCCGGCGAATCATCCTGTGGCCCCACGCGTTGGCAGTTGCTCGCCAGGGTGACGGGACGGAGGAGGGGTTGGTCGCGGTGCGTGAGGGGGCCAGAGGGCCCCCCGCTGCCCAGCCAGGCGCACACGTAGTCGAGCTTCTTGTCCGTGGTCACAGGGCAGGCGGAGCGCGCCATCGGCGAGCCCGTCTTCCCCCTCATCCGAGAGCGCCCGCGTCTGGCCCGTGGTGCGCCCCGTCCGCGGCGATGGCTCCCGGAAGCCCGGGGTGGGGGGGGGGAGGGGCAGGAGCGCGCTGGCGCGCGGGGCGGGCCCGGACCCCCTCGCCTCTCTTTTCGTGGCGTCCCGCCGCTTGTGGCAGCAGCTCCCGGGGGAGCTGTTCGAGGCCCTCGGGAGGCCGTCTGCAGAGTGCAGCAGCGCCAGCGTCTGGTAGTCGATGAGAAAGCGCCGATTTGGCGTCGATCAGCGTCAATGATGTCGATGAGCGAAGTTTAGCGTCGATTCGCAAGAGCCAGCAGGATGATATGGTGAGCTCCAGTGAGTTGCCACAGATGTTGTTCCCCATCCGTCCCCTTGATCTTTCTACTCCCTGTCCTCAGTTCCCTCCAGCGTGATCTTCTGCTCCTCCCCACTCCCCTCATTCTCACGAGAGCGTGCGTGCTATGCTGCCAGACTTGGTCGGGAACGTCTTCATCACCTCTGCATCGTTCCCTCGCACTTCTTCGAACACATATCTGACATGTGCACATGCAGGGTCAAATTCGATCCAGTCGATCCGATTCGATTTACTTTCTGGCCAGTTCGGTCGGATTCGACTCCGATACTCCGATGATCGGATGCGGCCCGAAGTTTGTACCGCGGCCGATCCGATTCCGGTTTCGATTCCGTGCCGGTGCACCCCGATCCGACGCGCCTTCCGATTCGATCTTGTTTTCGGAGTCGATGTCTGTTGACCCTGGTACATACATTATATATATATATATATATATATATATATATTCGTACACACTTATGATATGCGGGGCGAGAGCGAACCTCTTCCGCTAAAAGCTAGGTGGACATATATATACACATATACATATCTATACATATATAGATATACGTACATACATATGTATATATATGTATATTCATACATATATATAGGTATATACACATATCAACATATATATATATACATACATATCTATATATACACAGACATGCTGTATTTGCGTATCTCTGAAGGGCTGCCCTCCCCTGCCGCCAGACACCCAGGCTGAGCCGTCTCGTTGAATTCTCCCTGCCTCGTGCATGGCGTGTTGCGAGCGCTTGAGGTCTGGGCGTTGCGACCCCATGCTCTCCTTTCTTCCCCTCGCCTCGTCCTCTCCTCGCCCTTCCCCCTCCTCCCCGTTCCCCGATGCAGTTTCGTCCTCCTACTCCGCTTCCACTTCTAATTATGCCCTCTTCCTCTTCCTCCTCCCCCTTCTCTTCGTGCAGCGGCGCCGCGAGTCCCCTCCTCCTCTCCTTCTCCCCCTCCTCCTCCTCCTCTGCCCCCTCTTCCTCCTCCTCCTCCTCTTCCCCCTCCTCCTCCTCCCCCTCCTCTTCCCCCTCCTCCTCCGCCGCGAGTCCCTCCTGCCCCTCCTCCTCTCCTTCTGTTTCCTTTCCTCTTTCTGTTGGGGTCCAGTTGGTGCCCTCGTTTGGGGGCCTCTTGGGGGCCCCTCTAGGGCCCCCGATGGGTACATTGGGGGTTCTTGGGTCCCTCGTGAGCTGTCTTGGCGCCCCTCGTGCCCTGCTTGGCCGTCCCAGGCCCCCCCCTCGGTCCTCGTGGAAGTCTTTGGGGACACTTGTGAGCTCCTTCGGGGCCATCTGGGGGCTCTCAGTGGCAGGCTTGGGGCTGTCGTTGGGGCATCTTCGGCGATGCTCGAGCCCGCTTGCGGTTCTCTGTGGGGCCTCTGAGGCTGTCTCAGACCACCTCTGCGGCACGTTGGGCTGTCTTCGGCTTCCAGACGCCCGAACAGGAGAGAGCACGAAACTGGTTCAAACACCCAAAGGGAGTCAATGATTCTGGATTTTGACTGCCCGCCTAGGTGCCCCCTTGGAGCCGTCTGGTGGCGTTTCGGGGGCCTCTTTGGCCGTCCACAGGCCATCTTATGGCTTCGTGAGGCTCTCTTCGGCCGCTTGGGTTCTTGAGGCTCCCTTCGGATTTTCGTAGTCTTTGGCCTGCAGGGTCTCGCAGAAGGACTCGCTGGGCTTCAGCTTCGAAGCTCCTTCGTATCTCCTGCGGCCCATCGGGAGCATCTCGGCGCCGTGGTGGGGACCGCACGGCCGTCTCAGCCTGGTCCTCGGGTACCTCGTGGCTGTCTCGAGTGGGATCGTGGCTGTCCTTGGATGGGGAGGATGATGCGGAGGCGGAGGCAGAGGCGGAGGCGGAGGAGGCTCAGGAGGCGGAGGAGGAGGAAGGGGAGGAGGATGATGATGATGATGATGAGGTGGATGAGGAGGAGGAAAAGGAGGAGGCGGCGGCGGAGGCGGAGGCGGAGGCGGAGAATGAAGAATACTAATAATAGGCATACTAGTAAGAAAAATACCACGAACAAGAACAGGAATATTAATCAGTACTATGAATAACCATTTTAATAACACTATTAAGAATATTACGACTGCTACTGCTAATTGTACTAAGAAGACGAATCACAAGAACCATAGGGTGACTAGTAATCATACTAATAATATTCGGAATGGTAACACACATACTACTAACACGAGTAATAATACGAATGAGACGAAGACGAACCATACTATTACTACTATGTCTAATACCAACACTAGTAGTACTACGTTTTCTAATGTTGATACTGATGCTAATACTCATACGAGTACTACTACCAATACTTCTACCAGTTTTCATACAACTACTAATGCTAATGCTAATGCTGATGCTAACGCGAAATCTAATACTAATACGAATACTAGTACTATTACTACTACTACTACTAACTAATACTATTACTACTTCTAGTACTAAAACTAAGACTAACACCAATACTGCTACTGATACTGGTACTGATACGACTACTAATGCCACTACTACTACTAATACGTATACTAATACTAGCACTACTGCTAATACTACTGCTATCACTACTACTACTACTACTACTACTACTACTACTACTACTACTACTACTACTAATACTACTACTACTAGTACTACGACTACTACGACTACTACGACTACTACTACTACTACTACTACTACTACTACTACTACTCCTACGACTACTACTAATACTAAACTAATACTAATACTACTACTAACACAAATACTAATACTAATACTAATACTAATACTAATACTAATACTAATACTAATACTAATACTAATACTAATACTAATACTAATACTAATACTAATACTAATACTAATACTAATACTAATACTAATACTAATACTAATACTAATACTAATACTAATACTAATACTAATACTAATACTAATACTAATACTAATACTAATACTAATACTAATACTAATACTAATACTAATACTAATACTAATACTAATACTAATACTAATACTAATACTAATACTAATACTAATACTAATACTAATACTAATACTAATACTAATACTAATACTAATACTAATACGAATGCGAATGCGAATGCTAATATTAATAATAATACTAACACAAACACTAATACTAATACTATTATTATTACTATTACTAAAGCTGCTACGAATACTACTACTACTACTAATACTAATACCACTACTAATACTAATTTAATCGCTTCGCTCATTCCGCCGGCCCATACAGTCTCATGTCTGCCGTTTGCCCGAGGGCCTGGTGTCAATGCGGCGCTTTGGGGGTTCCTGGGGCCGCTTGGGGGACTCCTGGGGCGCTCGGGGGGGCATTTGGGGGGCCTCCTGGGGCCGCTTGGGGGACTCTTGGGGGCCTCCTGAGGGCCTCGTGGGGGCCTCTTGGGGCCTCTTAGGGGCCTCTTGGGGCCTCGTAGGGGCTTCTTAGGGCCGAGGGCTCGAAATGTTGTTTCGTGTTCCCTCTCTGGGGCCCCTTTGGGGGCGTTCTTGGGGCCCTCTTGGACCGTCTTGGAGGCTTCTTGGGCCGTCTTCGAGCCCTCTTGGGCCATCTTGGGGCCCTCTTGGGGGCCTCTTGGGCCCTCTTGGGGCGATCTTGGGGGCCTCTTGGGCCGTCTTGGGGCGTCGGGAAGCCGAAAAGGTGGAAGCTCCAAAATCTCTCAAAAACCTAAGGAAAAACAATGAATTTTGCCTCCGGGGGCCCTCTTGGGAGTGCTCTTGGAGGCCTCTTGGGGCGTCTGGGGGCTATCTTGGGCGTCTTGGAGCGATCTTGTGGCATGTCGGACCCCTCGTGTACCATCTTGGGGGCCTCTTGGGGGCCTCTTGGCCTTTCTTGGGGCTCTCGGGGACGTCTCGGAGCCCTGTTGGTGCGCTCATGGAGCGCTCCTGGAGCGCTCTGGGGGAGTCTCTCGGGGATCGGTCGGGGATCGCCCGCGGTACTTTTCGTCCGGGGACCCCCAGGGGCCGCCCCGCGCGCGCGAACTAGAGAATTGTTAACCAGTTACCGGAGATCTTAGCACGCCTCTGGCCCGTTGGGCCGGCGAATACTAATACTAATACCACTATTAATATTAATACTAATATTAATACCACTATTAATACTAATACTAATACTATTTCTAATACTAATACTAATACTAATACTAATACTAATACTAATACTAATACTAATAATACTACTAATACTAATACTAAGACTAATACTAATACTAATACTAATACTAATACTAAGTACTAATACTAATACTAATACTAATACTAATACTAATACTAATACTAATACTAATACTAATACTAATACTAATACTAATACTAAAACTAATAATAATACTAATACTAATATTAATAGTAATCGTAATACCAATGCTAATACTAATACTAATACTAATACTAATACTAGTACTAGTACTAAAACTAATAATAATACTAATACTAATATTAATAGTAATCGTAATACCAATGCTAATACTAATACTAATACTAATACTAATACTAGTACTAGTACCAATACCAATACCAATACCAATACCAATACCAATACTACTACTATCACTAGTACTAATACTAGTACTAGTCCTAGTACTAATACTAATACTACTACTAATACTAATACTAATACTAGTGCTAGCACTACTTCCTATACTAATACTAATACTAATACTAATACTAATACTAATAA